TTAAGTATTTGAATTTATTCTCCGTGGTTGCAGGATCTAAGAGATAACCTAAAAGAAATATTTAAACTAAGGAGAGAGGCAGAACATATCCATTCATTATGGTGAAATGAGTCTGTAAAAATGCAGTGCTTGGGAACTTTTCAAGAGAAAAATGCACGGCCAATAATGATTAAAGCAAGAGCTATTTGTAAATACATCTGGGTTTCTGCAGATAATTTCTTTCATTTAAGAGTTTCTGCTCTAGTACAAGTGAATTCCAAAATGCCACATTTGCTTGTTACATGTCGAGCTCTTAACCTACACAAGAATAGTACTTCCCACTTTTTTCTTATTGTCAGATATTTGTAACCTAGTGTTAAAATTAGCAATAAAAGCCACACAGAGTTACTATGAAAGAGGAAGATTCTCAACCATGCATTCTAGCACTTATGTCTCACTTTTTTTGAGATTTTCCCTGAAATAGGAATTGGCCTAATGTCCTCTGACAGCCAAAAGTATTTACAAAGCAAATGAAATTTAGGAACAGCTATATTGACTAGAAAATGCTGTGAGAGAGCATAATGGACGTATCAGCAGAGGATAATTACCACAGCTGAGGCATGTTCCTGTAAAATTCCAGAGAGAAAAGTAAGAACTCACTGTCTTTGCATTAATTCAAAAAAGAGAAAATGAAGTTTTTTAAAGGCATCCAAGGATACTGGAAGATGAACAAAAACTCTATGTAAAGACTGTACTCTAAGCTTGTCCATCCAAAGAGAAATCAATTTGTTACTGACAGAAAAGGTAGGAATTTTTACTCAAATTCAGTGATTGCAAAATGTGATAGATTAGCAAGATTTCACACAAAGTCTCCTATTCACTGACAGAAAGACATGCAGCACAGAAAGACTGAGGGCAAGTTACCTTCATTAGTACTGCCCTTCACATCTTGACAGAGACATACAGTGCTACAGTCTGATGCATTCATTGGCTGACTTCTCTTTCACTGGCAATACAGGGCCTATAAAATTAGTTTCACATGAGGCTTCAATCTCTACAGGAAGAAAACATACCCAGTGGCTGGTCTATATATCTCAAAAAAGCAGTGCTAGTAAAGGGAAAACAAAAACCAACACACACACACACAAAACCAAACCAAACCAAAACAACAAACAAACAAACAACCATAAAAACAGTAAAAAAAAATAATCACTCAAAGCTAGTCAGAATATCTGTGAAATCCACTTGGAATCTGTCAAGCACTGAAAGTCTGCAGATTTTTGGTGATAACTGTACTTCCTCAGTCTGGAAGAAATGCACAGGTATTAACTAATTATTTATGGGACAACCCCTTATTTTGTACTGTATATCTAAGACTAAGCATCATGAAATGCTCATTAGTTGAGCAAGTAGAACAGTGGAGCATGTTTAGAGCAGAACAAAGCCAAAGAGCAGAACAGAGAAGCACCCTGTACAAGACTTCACTAACACAGACAGAACACTGCTTAGCTTGCCCAGGCACTACACATCTGACCAGCAAAACTTTTCAAGTGCAGAAAATAACTTTTACACAGTCATTGGATTGAAGCAGAGTGGTCTGGAGCTGCAAGTGCTCAGCTTTACAAATTTTAAGAGACAAGGGACAGCAGTTCAAGTCAGAAAGTCAAAAAAGGAATGATATATTATTGCCAGAGTGCCTTGTATGTTCTCTTTTCCTTGCAGACACAACACTGCTTTAACCTTTCCTGCCGTATTGTTGGCCCAGGTCAGCTTAGATTTGTGACTCCTGGCCGGGCTCAAACATCCAGGTACACAACAGTGATTCTACTGTAATTTCTACTGTATTTCCAACAACAAAAAAGCCCATCCAATTCAATTTACATCTCATTTGCCAAGGATACACCATTTCAGAAAGAGCTCTCTATTCAAAATGAATGTTTGAGATAACGCTTTGGGAGGATATAACTAGGTCATGGCCCATAGTTTATTCACTATGAAGCCAGAGGGACGGTGTCCAGTTTTTCTGATGGATTGTTCAGCATCCTGTGAAAGCTACTTACCCCAGTCCTCCTTTCATCATGATTTGGTAACCAGGCATGACCGCCCCCACAACACATGAACATTCTGTCCTACAGATGTGGTATTCCCACACGCATACATCCTACTGTGTCACCAGGATCACATCCTGGGGAACACAGCTGGGGAGCACACTATGGATGGAAGCTAGCTGCCAAAACAGTTTGTCTGGTCCACAGTCTCACTGTCTCAGGAACCAAGGCAGCACAAAATGGCCTGCAGCCAGGCTGATTTCTTTCTCGATGGGCTTCATGCAACCTTCCGTTAGCTGTCAAGCCTGAATCAGAACATCAGAGCTTGGGTGAGAGGAGACTGGGACAAAAATGTAAAACCCTTCCAGTTCACTGCTACACCTGAATCAAATCCAGTTTAAAATTCTAAATCAATTTAATTTAACCCTAAAAGGATTGATTAAATTTCTCTCACAGTAAGATCATGTCTTTCAGCAGTAGAGGTTAATAAAAGATAGTGTTGCATTCTTCTGCTAATGGTTCTCTGGTTCATCATTTTTTAACTGAAATCCATAAAGACATCACAGCAATAACTAGAGATGATTTTCTTTCTATGTCAATTACTGAGATGCTGGGAGGATAATTTTCAGACTCTGATTGTGATTTTCCAAGTACACTAGGAGACTTGATTTTCCTTACTTCTCCATGCAGCAAGATAAGGAACTGCCAGGAGGATGCTTCTATCTTTGATGAGAAGCTTAAATACAGGTTCATAACACAGATGTATAAACTGAGTAGAAGCTCTAACAGGAATCTATGACAAGAAGAAGAAAGCAGGATTGGGTGGTTTTTGCACTGGATCAAAGGTAAATGAATATGAGTGGCCGGTATCACTTGAATTGACCCTACTCAAGTGATAAATCCCATTTATCATCTGTCTCCGTAAGAAGAGGTATGAATAAAAAAAAAAATCTTTAAAATATGTATTTCAAGAGTTCCCTTCTCTAATAATGAGGCACAAATATTCTCTTTTATGTGGATCAAATACCCAACAATCATTTCTAATTATCTGTGTTTGGAGCTACAAAATCTCTCCTCCAATAAAGAGGGACAAAATAAGATCTTACAGACATCTAGTGCATAGTTGAGTGAGTTCAGCTACTGGTTCAGTGCCTTTGCCCCATGATGCATTATGCCTTACCTGCATCTGAATGATACAATGGTAAATTAAATTTCTCAGCTCATCCTTGCAACTAAATATCATCTGATGACAACAATCATGAGAGAAACATAGTAGACAATTTTTTCCACATGGACACCTTCTTCAAGAAATTAAGAGCTGATTCATGTCCTTTAATTGAGATATCGACAAAATTTATAACCATTAATATTCAATTCGGTGTATGTCTTGGAACAAAACTAAGTAATTCTATTACTCCTACTTTGGTCATAGACTCCTATTTTGATGTTCCACACTGTTGATGTTGAATACCCTGTACATTCCTGACTAATTTAAAAAAACAAAACAACAAACTTTCCACTTTTAGCTTTCATTCTTTAACATGTGGCCTTTTTTGTCTCAAGCAAGCACTTTAAGAATATTCTGCTTTATTGCTGGCTCAAGTGACATGTCCTCTCTGAGACAACCAGGAATGGGACCATGGAGCACCCAGGGTTACAATGACAAAGCTGCACTTACTGATTCCACGCTATTTACACTCATTCCATTGGGTGTTGCTATTATACTAAACAGATTATGACTTAAGCCTCAATGTATGCATATGGAAAGGCATGGCAGAGTTTTAAGGTGTCTGCCTATGCTTCTTTGCCCATTTTTCTATGCAGCCCAAGTCTGTTGTACTTCATGAAGTTTTCTGTGTGCTTCATTAGCTGGTGTTGAGAAAAATTGTCAGTGACTACTTTTGAGAAAGAAATCCATAAAATGGAACCTTGCAGCTTGTACCAAAAGTTTTATACTCTTTCATGAAGGTGATCTCACTAAAATTTATATGTACATTGCAGCATTCAATTACTGTACACAGTAGCTGTGCAGATGGCTCTCCTTTAATTAGAGTATTTAGTGCATCTTCTGCATAAAGAACTAGGCAATGAATAAGGAGGAATTTAATGAAAGCAACCAAAAAAGGAAATAGCTTAATGGAAGTTAAAAAGAAAAAAAAAGAAAAAAAAAAGATAATAACTTAAGATGCAATTCTTGCAAGGATTTCCTGCTCTTTGGACAATCTGAGGGAGAAGTCTTTGCAGATTTGTGGCCTTGGGGAGGTCTTGTCAAACACTGAGAATCAGGCAACTGATACTAAACTTCTACAGCTAATGGTCATATAGATGACAGCAGAAGAATTCAAAAGCAAGATACTGGCTGGAACTTGGCTTTTGATGTGGCATGGACACACCAATGATTTCTAGGGTATTGTCAGAAAATATCAGGATTTCATTAAGTTATGGCAAGTACAAATGGTATAAAATCACTTTGTATTTGAAATATACTCAGTATTAACAGCTCTTGCTGTTAATACCACTAGCAGTAACTAGTAATATTAACTACTAATTGTAAAAAATAAAAGGTTACTACAATCTGAAATCCTGGCTATTTTCTAACCTGTAATGCAGTTGCTGATCTAGTTATATTCCTATTTTGTTAGAAAAGCACTGGCATTTACTTATGTAGACTTCGCTCTACTTGAAAAAAAACCACACATTATATGCATTTAGAAGTAAAAGATGCAGTAAGACAATATGATTTTTTAATGCACTTAAATTTACTTCTGTCAGGCATAAATGCTTGAATTATACAAACCTGGGCAAGGAAGAAGTTGCTGTGTTTCTTAATGGATAGGCAGGGAAGTCATATGAAAGTCATCTGCCCTTCTTAGCAGGACCAGTAACATAAGCCAACCTCAAAATAAATTCCAACATTTCTGTATCCTAAATTCTTCAGTGAATTTTAAATTTCAGAATGACAGTTAGACTTACCTGGTAGACCGGGTGGGGTTTTCAGATATTTGCCATTAAAATGTTGAATTACTACTTCACATTTTTCTGTAGACTCCATTCTGGAAAAGAGAAGAGAGTGGGATGGGGGTAGAAGCAATATGTGTTACTAGACTGTTATGAAAGTGCTCAGTAAAATTAAAAAGCAAAAGGACAAAAAAAGGACAAGCACAGATGCTGGGAGAAATCTTCAAAGCTCTTCCTGACGACTTCTGCAGAGAAACTGGTTGAGCTCGTTACGGTGTGGTGTGGCTTGTGAGGAGGACCTGCCTCCCCCAAAGCCTGCAGCCGCACTCCTGGCTGTGCGTGAGCTGCAGCAGGGTCAATGAACAGCTCCCTTTTGGCTCCAGGGGATTGCCCTGAACAGGGACATTCTTCATGCGCTCATGTGCTGCTTGGAAAGGCAAAGGATGTGTTTCTAGATTCCTTGTGCACCCAAAATAACTTCAGATGGCATGAAAAAAATCCAAACTCAGGATTCAGAGAAGAACCCAAAGGATTAATCAACAATTATTACAGATAACAATGTTACAAAAAATAACCCGCAAAGACAGACTGTATAGCAAAAACAAAACCAACACATGTATGCCTATTACAATATAAAGCCAAATTTTGGGTGAAGACCTCAATTTACAGGTAATACTAGCCAGGTGAAATGCCTTACTGTTCACCTCATATGACCTCAAAAATAACTTCCAGAATTGAGACATTAAGGCATTAACAGTGAACTGGTACATATATTATTGAAGGAACTGTAAAGAATACAAAGCTACTAGTCAAAGCCCAAACCACGATTATATCATATCTGGGAATTCACCATTCTTTCAAGTCTCATAGACTGACTGTACACTTGTCTACAGAACAGCTGACTTTGCTACAGAGTGAGTATAGAAACTTTGAAGAGAGAAAGGAGAGGAAAGGAAAGCTAATAAGCAAGCAAAAAGAAAAATCATACTGCTTTTGTTTTTCTTAGGAAAATTGCGTTTAAAAACCATGTTCAATGCTCTTTCAATACAGCAGTGCTCTCCACAAAACAACTCCATTGACATATATATTGCTTACTTCTCACCAGTCTAAATCTTTTAAAAATGAATTTATCCACCCTTCCTGTCATATGGTTTTGGGAAAGACTGGGTCACACACGGCAGCAGTTTGTCTCCCAGGGTACAAGTTTATCAGAGTTCAAAGGGACTCCCCCGCCACCACCATCACAAAACAAAACAAAAAAAACCCAGAGTCTTTTATCAGCTTGTTTCAGCTGGAATCATTAAAAATTGTCCCTTCCAGGCTGTATCACTGCATATCTTGTGGGCTGGGCCACTTCTACAAGCACAAAGACGGCAACTTAGATTGTTCACTTCGGCTTAATTCAGATTTAACTAAGCGCATGTCTGTACTGAGCCTTTAAAGAATCTTGTCTCTGAAAGAATAAATGCAATAAAAGTCTGTTTTCTGTAGCTGCAGGCGTTTGGTGTCAAACCATGTTATGTTGCACCACACAGCAGTGACAATTTCATTTTAATACACGGGGTACATTTTAACAAGCCAAAACAGTCCCTGCAAACAATGCAATATATAAGCTGCCAAGTGAAAGAGACTCGGTGCACTTCACGCATTTTATGTGGGAAGAGAATAAAAGTGAAACCCACAGTGTTCTGGGATAACAAGGCCATCACTCGAATAGCACTCTGAAAGAGAATGTGCACATTTTCTTCTCAAGTTTCACAATTAACAGCTCTCAAATGCCATTGCTAGCTATCTGTAATCTGGCACACGCTTCACTGGAAACCAACACTGGCATTATCGACCCTGTTTGAAAAGGCAGCACAATAGACAAAGCTGTCTATACACGTTCCCTTCAGATGTGTTGCTGAGTAACAACTGCATCCACCCCCTGTCTCACCTACCTGAGCCCCCATTTGCTTTCTGCAACACGTGCCTGTGGGGAAGACTTTCCTCCTGGCTGTGTCTAGGCTTGCCAGGCAGCCACTAACTGATCAGGATGGCAACTCTCCCAGGGCCACCTAGAGTATGAACTACCATTTTCATTTGTCCACAATACCTATTTTTTAGAAAGAATCTTTCAAATTGTGTTCTTCAGGATTAGCTCACTGACTGTCTGGGAAGAATGAGGGGTATAAAGCAACCAGATACATTATTAAAATGGCCTGATACCATCACAAGACCCTGGTTTTAGATTAGTTAAAAGTCTGATCAACATCAGCCGGTTAGATGGCAGTGTCTATGACAGGCACCTACTCATAAGCTGAACCTCTCTCTAAACATTGATTCAGATATTCCTCTTTCTCTTCTTACTTCTTTTAGCCCTAAAGACTAGCCATACCTGGGAAGACACACAATAAAAATACACTTTTCTTAGGTCCACACTAATAAATTATACCTACTTTTTCTTCAAAAAGCTGTCACACTCCTCTGTTGTAGAATGTGTTCGGCAGCTTGGGGAAGATGGACAAAATATGCTTTTTGTTCTGAATTTATTCTTCTCATCTCAGATGGAAATGTTTCAAAATATGAAGACTAGCATTTAAAAAAAATATCATTAACAGGAGTATTACAAATTAAAAGTTAGCCTCCAGGGGACGGGTGTTGTATAAAAGAATGTCGGAGAACAGGTAAACTTGGGGGATGAGCACTCAAATCAGTTTTTTAAATGTTGTGTTTTTTTTCAGTGGCAAATGACAATATTCTGTAGAAAACATAAAGATCTTATATGCTTCAAAACCTTCTATGGAAAGGGAGGGATATTCAACTCTCCCAGTCGAAAGGGGAGGATGTCAGCTTCACATGATAATAGCATTTTGCTTCTGATCAGAGCATTCATGAAGAATAATTTTTAAATTCCTTTCAACAGTATGTTTTTAATGCTGATTTTAAGAGGATCTTAGATAATAATTAATGTTTAAATACAACCTGGAGATAACTATAATGCATCTGAATATTATTTTGAAGCAATAAATGCACTGCAGAAAAAAAAAAAAAAAACAAAGCCATAGTTTGCATATTTAAGATCTTTCAGTAGGATTAGTAAAAGAACAAAAAAATGGGGGGGGTTAGGCATGTACCAAAACCAACTAATTTTATGTTCATGCCTTGGTATTAAATATTTATTTTAGATAATTTAAAAATTGTATATTGCTCACTCTACAGAACATAGTGGCTCCAAAGTAGTCTTCACATGTTAAGTAATAGGGAACTTTCAGCATGAAAAAATAAGGAAAAAGATATTTTTCTCAAACTACATGTTTACACATGCTTATTATAAAGATGGGTACACTGTCAAGAAACAACTAAAGAAAATTTATATACAATGAATAACATAATTACATAATTATTACATGAGAAATATTTAGTACCATGTAATTACCAGTGGGTAAGTTGTGGATTTTGTTTACATATACCCTGCAGTCACTTTGCTTAATAGTAATAATGTAAATGGAAATCAAGACTATATTTTTTTAATATCCAGAGTAAATATTTAAAGATTCAATTGTTACTACCACATTTATGTTATGATCAGAATATGAATTCTCTTGTTGTCTTATATTTTATGAGCAGGAATAATAAATCTCGGGGAGCAATTTTTCTTTATTATTTAAGGCATTTTGCAAAGATGGAAGCAGAGAAACACAGAAATATAGAATTGCTTAGGTTGCAAAAAAAGCTTCAAGATCATTGAGTCCAACCACTAACCTAACTCTACCAAGTCCACTGCTAAAGCACGTCCCTAAGCACCATAGCTACACAACTGCTAAACACGTCCAGGAATAGTGATTCCACCACTGCCCTGGGCAGCCTGCTCCAGGCCTTGATAATCCTTTCAGTGAAGAGATTTTTCCTAATGTCCAAACTAATCCACGCATGGCACAACTTGAGGCTGTTTCATCTTGTCCTATCACTTCTTACATGGGAGAAGACACCAACATCCACCTCTCTACAACCTCCTTTCATGTAGCTGCGGAGAACAATAAGGTCCTCCCTCATCCTCCCCCTCGTCAGACTAAACAACCCCAGCTCCCTCAGCTGCTCCTCATAAGACTTGTGCCCTAGGCTTTTCACCATCTTAGTTGCCTTCTTTGGATCCACTCCAGCACCTCAATGCCCTTCTTGTAGTGAGGGGCCCAAAACTGAACACAGTGCTCGAGGCATGGCCTCAGCAGTGCTGAGTACAGAAGGATGATCACCTCCCTGGTCCTGCTGGCTACACCATTTCTGATAGAAGCTACAATGCCATTGGCCTTCTTGGCCACCTGGGCACACTGCTGGTTCATATTCAGCCAGATGTTGACCAGAACCCCAAGGTCCTTTTCTGCCAGGCAGCTTTTCAGTCACTCCTTCCTAAGCCTGTGTTGTTGTCACTCAAGTGCAGGACCTGGCACTTGGCCTTGTTGAACCTCATACCATTGGCCTCAGCCCACTGATCCAGCCTATCTGGGTCCTTCTGCAGAGTTTTTCTACCCTCAAGCACATCAACATACCTACTGAACTTGGTGTTGTCTGCAAACTTACTGAGGGTGCCCTCAATCTCCTCATCCAGATCACTCATAACGATATTAAAGAGAACAGGCCCCAGTACTGAACCCTGGGGAACACCACTTGTGACCAGACGCCAACTGGATGTAACTCCATACGCCGTCACCCTTTGGGTCTGGCTGTCCAGCCAATGGTTTATCCACCAAAGCATACACCCATACAAGCCATGAGTAGCCAGTTTTTTCATGAATTTGCTGTGGGAAGCTGTGTCAAAGGGTTTACTAAAGTCCAGGTAGTCAACATCCACAGCCTTTCCCTCATCCACTGATGAGGTGGGTCACTTTGTCATAGAAGGAGATTATGTTGGTCAAGCAAGACCTGCCTTTCATAAACCCATGCTGACTAGGCCTGATTGCCTGGTTGTCCTGTATGTGCCATGGTATGTCACTCAGGATGATTTGCTCCATAACCTTCCCTGCACCCAGGTCAGACTGACAGGTCTGTAGTTCTCTGGATCTTTCTTCCAGCCCTTCTTGTAGATGGGTGTCACGTTTACTAACCTCCACTGGGA